TTACTGTTTTTAATCTCAGGACAGTAAGCAAGTTGTAGAATCATACAAGTCGGGCTTTGAGCCGCCGGGTGATGTGGAGTTCGAGGACTACAGTGTGTCGATGAAGAGGGCGGTGTCAGAATCGAGCTTCCTGAACGCTCGCGGAGAGAACAGACGCAGGAGCAGGAGCAAACTGTGGCCTTTACTCAAGAGAAATAAGGTTCGGCATCAGACAACACCTACTGAAGCCACAAATAAGCAAATCAAAGAGCAGAAAACTATGATGCTCATTAATGGTCAATTGAGATGCAGTCATGTATGATTTTATGTCCGAGAAAAGCTGAATAAACAATTCATGCTATTTATATTCAAGTAGTGCTATTAAAGAGCGTTTGCAATGGCTATTTTATGCAACTAGTTTCATGCAGCTGGTTATAATGGAATCTTGTAGTTCTGATGATTAACAAGACTCACCATCTGTTTATGCATTTTAATAGTGCCATGCTATTTAAACAAGGAAATATTAAGATGAGATAGGGAAAAGTATTTTAAAGAAAAAAAAATTGCACATATAGGACGGATCTGTGGATTGTAAACACTTGCTAAAGTCACAAATAAGCACATAAAAGAACAGAAAACTATGTTGCTCATTTATAACTCACTGCGATGCAGTCATGTAGATTTAGTAGCCAAATATAAATCATATTATTTATATTCAAGTAGTTTTATTGCTATTAAGTAGTGTTTACAATGGCAGTTTCTTGTAACTTGTTTAATGCAGCTTGTTATAATAGAATCTTGTTATTCTGATGATTATTTTATACGTTAGTGATTTTTGTTTTGATGGCACTAGTTTTTAAACTTGGAAATATTAAGATTGGATTAGAGAACATGTTTCTGACATGCATCCCCTTTAATAAAGTTTGCAGCGAGTTTGTCATAGTGTGAGAAGTTCTGAACTTTTGCTTTGCCCTTGAAAGTTTCTTTCCTCATATTTTCTCTTCCTGTCTTCCTCCATTCCATTTCTCAATGTGCTTCATGCACCAAACACAAAATGCACTGCCTGCGGAGCCTGAAACGTGGGGTGAGTTCACAAGCCACCACGTCACCTCTGTGTCTTTCGTGTGGATCCGATTGGACGACTCCAAAGACTAAAGCACCATCAGCTTAGTTTGGTTATAAACTGATGTGTGGCTGTGTAACGTCTCATTCTCATGCTTTTTGTCAACACCATCCTAAACATATCTGTCTTAACAGCTACATAAGTGTGTGTATTAACCGTTTCCCCTAACACTTTTTTTCTTGTCTTAACGTTCACAGCTTTCTCTAAAGCTGGTAAGTCTGACTTGCTATAAAATCCACAAAACTTTGGCTTTATTTTTTTTTTTCATAATAAATATTTAAGATTTTGAATTTTATTTAAGTTGGACTATTTTGCCAGTTTCAACACTTGAAGAAAAATAAGTTATAAAAATAAGTAAATTAGGTATGACAGTCAAACTTTAGGCATGAAGCCTGCCAATTTACCATTTTTTGAATGCAATATGTGCTGGGCAGTCAGTGGATGTGTTTTTTAAGGCTGAGACTAGGTTATATCTTGTTTATGTAATGTTTTTTAATGCAGCGTTTGAATCGGTTTGTGTTTGGTTAGTTCTTTTTCACTCATAACTTTCTGTCTGTCTGCAGGGAACAGGCCAGGAGGACTACAGTCATCTGCCCCCTGAGCAGAGGAGGAAGAAACTACAAGCTAAGCTCAATGACATCAACAAGGACATCCACAAAGAGATGGATCAGAGGTAAATCGTCCAATAGCTGCCATGCTGGTTATAGTATCAGCCTTTCTTTCTGCCAAATTCCTCATCATCATGTACCAAATTGTTTATAAGAAATACTACAGCTCAGAAGTTTGGGGGCAGTAATATTTTTTTTTTAAGAAATCAATACCTTTATTCAGCAAGGATGCCTTAAATTGATCAAAAGTGATAGTAAAGACATTTATAATTTTACAAGATTTTTAAGATTGCTATTTCAAATACAAGCTGTTCTTTTGACCTTTCGGTAACACTTTCAAACGGTAACACCAGTTGCTTATTAGCGTGCATATTACTAGCATATTGGCTGTTTATTAGTACTTATTAAGCACATATTCTGCATGACCATATTCTACATCCTTAATCCTACCCAATACCTAAACTTAACAGCTACCTTACTAACTATTAATAAGCAGTAATTAGGAGTTTATTGAGGCTAAAGTTGTAGTTAATAGTTAGTTAATAGTGAGAACTGGACCTTAAAATAAAGTGTGACCAAACTTTCTATTCAAAAAATCATGATGAAACATAGTATCATGGTTTCAACAAAAATATTAAGCAGCACAACTGTTTTAACATTGATAATAATAATAATAATAATAATTAGAGCCTGACCGATATATTGTTTAGCCGATATTATCGGCCGATATGAGCCTGAATATGCCGCCGATATGACAATTTTTTTTACAGAACATATAACGCAGATAAAATGCATGAAATGGTGTTTAGAAATGGCGTGCTCCATTGTTTGCTACTGGCGACCTGGATGAAACGCTTTAAAGCTTAAGTCTATGGAAAACCATTGAAACTTTGAACGGCCATATCTCCGTAAAGGCGAGGCAAATCCGCACCAAATTCGGAGGATCCCTTCAGCTCAAGGAACCCTCTCGAGCATGAATTGAGTGTATGTCTCGTTGCCCTCTTTCGAATGAGACCACCCCTGCGTCGATTGCCCCCGGGGTTCGGGAGTTACGGGTGGTTAAATTCGTGGTCCGGCGCCGACCGTATTCTGTAATATACTGTATTCTGTATAGGTCTATAGTACCAGTCAAATGTTTGGACACACGAATGGGAAAGTGTCCAAACTTTTGACTGGTACTGTACTATAATATACACAAAGAATATCGGCTGATATATCGCTTTTTTTTTTACTCCCTAATATCAGTATCTTATCGGTCCCAAATATCCCATATCGGGCTCTAATAATAAGAAGAAATGCTTCTGTGCACCAAATCATATTAGCATGATTTCTGAAGGATCATGTGACACTGAAGACTGGAGTAATGGTGCTGAAAATTCAGCTTTGCATCACAGGAATAAAATACATTTTAAAATATATGAACATAAAAACAGTTATTTTAAATTGTAATAATATTTCACAATATTACTGTTTTTACTGTATTTCTGATCAAATAAATGAATCTTTGGCTTAAAATAATAAAAAAAAATAAAAAAAACTTGCCAACCCCAAACTTTAGAATGATAGTGTACATAATGTAATATACATGACCAGACATGATGTAACAAATTGTCATATGCAGTTCATATGCACACGCTTCTTGTTTTTTACTAACTCTTCTTCTTAAAATTATTTGCAGGGACGCCCTGACTAAAATGAAAGATGTTTACATTAAGAATCCTCACTTGGGGGATCCAGACAGTATAGATCCACGGTTAGAGGAAATCACACAAAGCTTGGAAAAATTGCAGCTTGAGGCACATAAATTTGAGGTGAGGCCCTCACAAGTTCAGCCCTCAGATACCTTCAAAAGTTGGTTTAAAATATGGATTTTGAGATCCAAGAGACTTAAATTGTGCTATTCAGTCAATTGAGGGATTAACGATTACAAATAAACTGAAAGATCTGTTGTTTGTGTCTTTTCAGGGCTGGCTGACGGAGGTGGAGAGGAAGCTACTTGAAAAGGGATCCGAGTCTCAGAGAAGACAGAGCAGTCATTTTGACTCGCAGGGCAACACGCCACTTACAAACAACTACGGTCAAAACCGAGAGAGGTACTTCAGTCCCTAGACAGCAGGGCTACCCAACATGATGCACTGAATGAGATTACATTGTTACATTTCTTTAGAGCTTATGTAATGAAAACCTAACTTCCATAACTCAAAACTTCCCCAGTTCAGAATGGCTATGGATGCATCTCTGAACTTTTTGACATTAGCAAAAAAAAAAACTTAACTAACATTACCAGTGGACTTAAGGTAAAAAAAAGCAAACTTGATGTTTAATGCTGTTCATGGCTTTTCATGCCATTAATACTTGATCTTATTTTGACAACCTCATATGAGACGGTTTAACATTAACTGTATAATCTGACTAGAACGTCAAAGTTAATTTGGTCTGTTTTACGTATTGCATGTCTTCTGCACATAGTCCGGATGGCAGCTACACGGAAGACCCCAGCACAGAGACGACCATGCAGTTCAAATCTCGCAGCACTGAGTTCGATGACGAATTTGACGAGGAGGAGCCTTTACCCACCATTGGAACATGCAAAGCACTTTATCCATTTGAAGGTAACAGAAAAACACTAACTGGATCATCTTGCAGAAGGAAAATGCGTTAAAAAGTATGTCAGGAATTCATGATTATAAAATAGTTACAGAGCCTATTTGCAGTTCTTGCGATAAGAAGTTTAAACTATACTATCAACCAAAATGGGTTTTTCAGTTCAATTTGAGAAATATATTTAGTCAAGTGTATCTTAACATTTTGATTGGTGCTAAATTTATATAATGATTTTATAATGGATAAATGGCAAAAATATACTAAATCCTGATTAAAAACTGAAAAATTAAAAACTAAAATCGATTAATATATACAATTAAATAAACTTCACAATTAAAAGTAAAAATGTTAACAATTTACTTAACTAAAAATAAATAAAATCAATACACTATACAATAAAAAGTAAAACTTAGTAAAAAAAAAAAGAAATAAATTTTTTACACTATTATTATTTACTTCATTTACCATGAAATATCTGCTAAATTAATAAATGCACTCAAAATTAAAAAACAGAGTCAAATTGGTTATTAGACAAGACTGATATAATAATAAAAGTTAGAATAAAAAAATATATATACATTTTTTTTTTTTTGTAAGTTTGCATGCTTGTTTTGGAATCAAACCCACATTGTGTGTTTTTGTGTCTGTAGGTCAGAATGAAGGTACCATATCCATGGCCGAGGGTGAGATGCTGTACGTAATCGAGGAGGATAAGGGTGACGGATGGACCCGTGTCCGCAGAAACGAGGACGAGGAAGGATACGTGCCCACATCCTACATCAAACTCTTTTTGGACACGAATGCCAAAGGTGCTATGACATACATATAATCCCACATCACTGAACACCCGGAAAGCGCCATTAGTGAACACTGTTTACCTGTACATACAGTAGAACATCATGAAAATGTTCTCATTGAACAGAGAAGCAGACAGCAGAGCACTTCCTGTTTTTACAAGTTCAAGATGCCAGGTGTCATTTCTCTGTTTGGTCCTTATTTACCTTTTTAATTATTGCTCCCTTAGACTTTATCAGTATTAAACTAGTTCTGCATCCATAAGGGTACAGTGAATTAGGCAATAAAGACACAGCTGCTGTGTAAATTTGATATACCTGATGGAAATGACTGCTTTACCAACATATCATGTTCATATTTAGCATTATAGCTTGGCATTATGGTGGTTTTAAGCTATAAACAAGATATGTAGATACTCATGTTCATATTTTTAATGATCTACAAGCAATCAGATACTTTTAGATTAAGAATGAAATGATTAGAAAATGTCAAAAGCAATTATTCTCAATCCTTCTGGCAATAAAGATCATTATTTACTGATATTTTGACCTTAAAACTACAGAATAAGTAGCAATCCTGCATTTTAACTATAGTCCAACTGTGACTATTTTAATTATAATAATTTTTTAAGACGTCATAATATCTGACTTGAGAGAATCTTTTGCATGAGAGATGGAATAGAATATTTTCTCAGGTGTGTACTTTGGAGTACATCCTTGTACCTCAAAAAAAAAAAATTTCTTTCCCCAACGGCAAATCACATTCGATTTAAAAGCATATCATTAAATGTGAAGAGCTTAAGCAATTAATGCATGCATCTGTGAGACTTTTGCTAGCTTTGCATTTACTGCTGTACAAAAAAGATCAACGTTAGAAGTAAAAAATATACCATAGTTAACGCGATGCCTTTCGGTCTTGTGAGCGTTGAAGCAATAATTGAAAAGATGCATGTTATTCGTACACTGACCAGCATGGAAAACTAACACTTAACATGAAGTTAAATAGAAATTTTCCAGAAGGTCATTGCCGTGTGTATTAGAAATACCTGCAGCAGGAA